AGATAGATAGATAGATAGATAGATAGATAGAGAGATAGAGAGATAAATAGATAGATAAATAGATAGATAAATAGATAGATAGATAGAAAGATAGATAGATAGATAGATAGATAGATAGATAGATAGATAAATAGATAGATAAATAAATAGATAAATAGATAGATAGATAGATAGATAGATAGATAGATAGATAGATAGATAGATAGATAGATAGATAAATAGATAGATTGAGATAGAATCACAATGCAGAGAGCTCTACTTTCCTTTTATGTCGTCATCAATATTTCGTTTATATATCTTACGACCTCCCATCCTGGGCGAACTCCCAGTGTCTTACACGCCACCTACCTGGGGACAGGGTTGCACAAACACACGCAACACGACCGTGGATTGGCACTCAGCACAGCGGGGATATTTAGCAATTCATCAGCATACCGGCTTAATCGCATTTTGCGTGCGAGCGATCTAAGCAAAAACCGATAATGAAGCCCAGCAGAGCTGCGGGCGCGCGAGTTTTTAATATATCGACGGCGTCTTTTGCCCCCGAGGAAAACGCAAACATAATTTTCGCCGGGCGAGTGATCAGCGATGCGTCACGTGACGTTGAATACGAGGCCGCAGATGTCAACGTCGCTGTCGGTAAAATTCAAAATCGGCAAGCGTCACTAACGAACGTCGGGCGCCAACGGCAACATGGCCGCCAACGGCAACATGGCGGCCAACGGTAACATGACCGCCAGCGGTAACATGGCCGCTAACGGCAACATGGCTGTCAACGGCAACATGGCCGGCCGCTCGACGATATAGCATGGTATACATTCCACTTATGATAAACGCCCCCTCTGCAATGCGCATGGGCAATACAGAATGAACAAAGGTTGTGACTCGCATTTGATCTTTCTTGCTCATGCGCAATAAAGAAAGAGAAGGGTCGCTATGAGGGAGTATGTATACCATGTTATATTGCCTTTTCTTTGGCTCCGCCCTGGTGAACTGATTAATTTAACACTAATCGTACGCGGAGAAAAAAACACAAGTTAAAGTGATTACGTCACCGCAAATAGTAAAAAATAAAAAATAAATTTCCACTTTTTCACAAAATACAAGTAATTCTATTTACATTTTATGGTTAAATTGCTGCATTATACTTCCTATTTTACTATATTGTTCGATGTGAACATACACTCGTGACCCATACATCGCCCATAGCAAGCAATTAATGTTAGACAACATTAATTCAAATCGTCCAGGTTTTTTGGATTTTTAACTAGTTGAGAAACAATCTTATCAGGTAAGAATTTGACGATTTGTTTAGTCCCGTTAGTTCTTACTTTTAATGTAAAAAAAATGGGAATTTTTTTTTACAGATTTTACCATAGAAAATTCGTGACGTAATCCCTTTAACGCTTCTAGTATAGCGTGTTATGGAAGTCGCAGTGTATTCGCGATAAGCTGAATGACGTTACGCTGTGATCATTACCTTACCCACGCGGTTCGGGCGTTGTAAGAGCTAACCTAGAGCTTAAATTGCACTAAAATTAGGACCATTACAAACCCTACAGGTTAGTATTACGGTAATAGTTTTTTTGGTATCTATTTTGGTATTAGATATTTTGACAACGGCGCAGAACAAAAGGATAGAACTTTCGCAATTCTTGTGGTTAGTAATAGTTTTTTCCAGTTCTTTTAGCAGCTCTAGGGCGAAGCTGGCGATGGCTGCGTTGATAGGGCGTTGGTGGTGGTGGTGGTGGTGGT